GGCACGACACAGCGTCCGCCCGCCTGCCCAACGACAAGAACAGCCAGCGCAGCGACGTGGGTGAGGATCTGCCAGCCTTGCAGTCCCCCTGCTCCTGCAGCTGTGGTCTTGTCTCCTTGCTTAACCCTTCTCTCCCCTCAGGCTGGCGGCTCTTCGACGACAGCACAGTCACCACCGTGGACGAGAGCCAGGTGGTAACCAGATATGCTTACGTCCTCTTCTACCGCCGGAGGAACTCTCCTGTGGAGAGACCCCTGCCAGGGCACCCCCCAGACCACCGAGCTGAGCGCACCCCCTCTGCCGAAGCTGCTGCCAGCCAGGTGAGAGCTCGCGTCTCTTCCAGCGTTGTTGGAGCCACAGAACCTTGAAACCTGCCCATGTGCAGGGCCCATGCTGCCTCTGCCTGTGCCCACGGAGCCTGGTGTAGCTGTGGTGCGGTGCCTGCCCTTCTTTGACACCAAAGCATGGCAATGGTGGCTGGGCATTGGGGTCTTGCCCCGTTCTCGCTGTGAGCCGGGACAGTCCCTGCCCTGAGGGACCGCAGGAGAGTTGGTTCAGCTGCTGGAGTGGGAGGGCACCAGAGGAGGCTGGAGGGGGCCTGGCCTGGCCACGCCGAGGTTTGCAGTGAGGGAAGGCTGTGAGCAGTGCAGTAGGAGCTGGCTGTGCCAGGAGCGGTGAGGACCTGTCCTCCGCCGCCGCTCTCGAGGCCAGGAGCGGTGAGGACCTGTCCTCCGCCGCCGCTCTCGAGGCAGGGTGGGGGACGCTTTCTGCTGGGGCCCAGCTCGGGGCCAAGTGAGGTGCAAAAAAGGCAAATGCCAGCGCTGAGCCAGAGGCCTGGCAGCCTCTGCAGGGCGCTGAGAAACCTGCCAGAGTGAGCGCTGCTGCCTGGCCACCCGGGAGGGAGAGGTGGACCGGCCCGTAGGGTGATTTCGGCGCGCACCGGCGGGGAACAGTTGGGCTGATCTTTGTGTGCACATCGGAAATGAAAGCCCAGTTTGGGATACAGTGCAGTGCCCACTGAGCTGCCCCCCGTGTCGCTGCACTGTAGCCCTTCCCTCTGTGGTCCCACAAGCTCTGAGGATGATACTTTTCCCATCTCTGGCACGGCTGCATGTGTGTCCTCGTGGAGCCCTTCTGGCCAGGTTTCCCAGCCCGTCTGGCTCCCACAGCCCTGGGCCCGGTGCTGGTTTGGCATCCAGGCTGTGCTGTCTTGGCTGGGGGCAGGGGCTGCCCGTCT